AAACGCTGAGGCCTTCACACCCCAAGTCTGCAAAGTGTCCCTAAAATACAGGTCTTGGGGCTCACTGCTTGTGTTCAGCCCCAGCTTTCCTGAGGTTTGCTCCCCAAAACAGGCACAGGCAGTGGCACTGGCTGCAGTACGGGCCAGCTGGGCAGATGTTTTGGGAGGCCTCCTGTCTCCATCCGTTGAGAAACATCATCCAGGGAGACCTTAGAGCAGCTCCAGTGCCTGAAGGGGCTGCAGGAAACCTGGAGAGGGGCTTGGGACAAGGGACAAGGGACTGGCTTGAACCTGCCAGAGGGGAGACTGAGATGAGCTCTGAGGCAGAAGCTCTTCCCTGGGAGGGTGCTGAGGCGCTGGCACAGGGTGCCCAGAGAAGCTGTGGCTGCCCCATCCCTGGCAGTGTTCAAGGCCAGGTTGGACACAGGGGCTTGGAGCAAGCTGCTCCAGTGGAAGGGGTCCCTGCCCGTGGCACTGGATGAGCTTTAAGGTCCCTTCCAGCCTAAACCATTCCATTATCACAGACACGCGGGGAATATTCCAGCTATAAACCAGTAGAGGTCACTCCGCCCCAGTAAATCCAGCGCTGCTGGAGACGTGTGGCCAACAGCAGGGATGAGGCAGTGGGGGGAAGGTGATGGACAGTGGGATGGCAAAACCCAAGGACGGGGACATCGGCTACCCAGAGCCCCCCAATGCAGGCAGCTCCCGTCCTCGCTGTGCTCCATGTGGGACGGACACACTCGGGTGGTCCCATCCTGCCGCTGCTTAGTGTTTGGTGTTCCAGGGTCCTGCAGAGCCCGTTCGTCCGCTGCTGTTAACAGTGGAACTGAAAGTTCATTTTCCACAAACACGGTTGAAGGAGTAGCTTTTTGCAAGGATTTTTAAAGCAGATTTCCCGAGTTTTATTGATTTTATTAAAGATAACTTACCATGGAGAAATGTGTTCGTTGCTGTTCCCATCTCTTGGTTGCAGCCAGGTTTTATCCTGCGATATAGAAACTCTGCACGTGGGACCCATGAGGAGGACGTGTGCTGATCCTGGGCACGGCAGAACAGCACCATTGTGGAGCTGGTGAGGTGAGGCCGAGGATTTACTGAGCCTGCAAGTTACCTGCAGGTACAAGGATTCCTTCGCATTGCTCTGCTCCACAGCTCCAAACAGCTCCCGACAGATCCTGATGGTGCTGAGGGACTCAGCTGCTCTGGATTTGCACAGGGAGTGTGCCCCCAGGTGAAGCAGAGGGGAATCAGGATGAGCTTTGCATGCTTAATACCGAGAGGTACCTTTGAACTGTCTGCATCCTGATGGAGAGGAGTCCTCGCATTGCAGTCCTAGCATCCTTTTATCCGGGGTGTGCATCTTCCTTCCCTCCCTCCTGGGCCTGGGCACTGTTTGAATCCATGTACCCTCTGGCCCAGAATGGGTCCCCAGCACAGGCAGGTGCTTGGTGCTGCTTGAACAGGTTTCCTAGATGAAGTCCCTCCTGGATCTTGGGTCTCCCTCGGAATGCTCTGGCTGGAGGATGATGCACAGTGCTTGGGAAGCACTTGCAAGTGCTCTGAACCCAACGCACACCCATGGCAGACAAACCCCACCTCTTCCCCTGCTCACACCAGTGTGTGCCTGCCTTTAAGTGAACCAAGAACCGTCGAATCCCAGCCTGGTTTGGGTTGAAGGGACCTCAAAGCTCACCCAGCTCCAACCCCTGCCACGGGCAGGGACACCTTCCACTAGAGCAGCTTGCTCCAACCACTCTCACCCTTGCTAAGAGTCTGGAATCCCAGTCACTGTTCCCAACATTATTCATTTTGTTACCTGCTAAAACAGACTTTATTTCAATTCCTGTGAATTCTGTGCAGTACACATCGCTAAACCTATGGAACACACCTCAAAACGAAAGGGTTGGGTTGGTTGTTTCTTTTGTCCATACATTATATTACTTTTTATTGAATGTCATCCAAAATCCAGACAACACCTTTGTCCTTAAATAACCGTTTCTCCCTCCCCTGCCCTCCCTTCCAAGCTGACTGGTCCGAAAGAGGACGTTTTATTTAGTTCTTTGCTTTTCTTTAAAAAAATAGAAATTACAATCTTACACGACAGAACATTCCATGAGAACAGAAGCATCTGCCTACATCTAAAAACAGTTCCAGAAAACCTGTTGGTATCTACAGGTAGGTGGGTGTGGAGGGTGCTGAACGGAAAGAAAAGTGGTTTCCATTCCTTCCTTTCATTCATAGAGATAAAAAAAGAACATAAAACCGACTGAAACTTTAGATAGTTTTCTCTTTTGCACCAACATTCACAAGAATATATTATATATATATATATTTTATCCATTTTTATACACAGTGTGAGGGTTCTGGAGGTGGAAATGCACACTCAGCTAAACTGCCAGAGCGAACAAACACAAAATGCATCTGCGTCTGGACAAGAGCCATCCCTCGTGCTGAGGCTGCCCCGCTCACAGGAACCACTGGACATCGCAGGTCAGCGGGATGGCAACGACCCCGAGACACCAAGGACCTGAAGCTGGGGGGCTGGGGGCTCCCATCCATCATCTCCCCCAGCCCCACGCAGCTCCGGTGCAGGGAGAGCGGAAATCTCCCTTTTCCAGGCAATTTCTACCCAGGGTTTTCCATTCGCTCCTTCCCTACAAGCTCGATGCCTGCCTCTGCAGAGCCACTGCTCTCGGTGGCACAGGGCGAGCGTGAGGGACCTTGGCACAGCCACCGTGGCTGAAAGCAGGGGCTGCAGCCCCAGAGGTGCTCCGGGGGTCCCTGTCACCCCTTCCAACGCGTGCCACCCGTGCCAGGCAGGAGACAAGTCGGTTCCTGTAAAGAGAACTTCAAAGTGCAGGTTCCCACAGTTTGGCAGGTTGAGTTACACACATTTAATGCTTCGAGTCTTCCCGAGATTCCCCACAGGAATCCCTTATTGCTCAGAATCCCGAATCTCTCCCGTGAGGTGGGTGCTGTGGCAAGGGCTCCGTCTTCTCCCGATTTAAGGTGCTTTCTTGGTTTCTTTGCCAGATGAAATGAGAACAGTGACATTGACCATTGGTGCATGTTGGCTGACGGATGCTGAGGACATAAATAAAGGTGTGTGTGCTTCCCCCCCCCCCCCCCCCCCAAGCATTTCAAACCACCCGAGGCTGTTTCCTCCAAGGGAGTGCTGCTGTCCTGCAGAAACAGGGGGCAAGAGCCCCTTCCTCAAAGCACATCGGTCTTCTTGAGTGCTTTTCCCTGCAGAGAGGAGCCAGGAAGCGAACGGTGCTGTCAGAAATGATGCTTCAGGAAAAGGCACAACCCTCTAGATGAACAAGGCAGTGCTGACTTCTCACTCCTGTCCAAGCCTTTAGGATCCAAGAGGGTCAGGAAACAAGCACGGTGCATCCCCACCCCGGCGAACACTGCACTGGAGAACAACACATTGGCACTCAGCATCAGCAACCTTCACCAGGGACCTGGGCTCCAGTGCCTTTGGGAGGAGAAACAAGGCTGACCAACTCCAATATGCTCTGAGAAGCAGTTCAAACAGTGGTTAGCAAAACCAGAAAGCACAGGGCTGTATGTGGTGGGTGGCAGCTGCCAGGGAATAGCACGGTCCCTAAATTTTCTCTGCCTTATACCAAAGCAAAAATCCCATTGGTTTCCTGGTGAGCCTTTCCTGGTTAAGGTTGGTCCACGGTTTTCCATAGGTCTTTAAACTGGAAACATGAATATCCCCTACATGGCTAAGAAAGCTGCTGGCTTAGTTTAAGGGATGCAGTTATGGAACTGAAGGTCTTCGGCTCACACTTGGAGATGATCCGAGCTGCCAGAGGACAGCGTTGGACGCACGAGGAATCAACGTGAAGCAGGGATGGGGCTTGGGATTTTAGCCCTTTGTCAGCAGAAACGGGGGCTGCCTCGGAGCAGGTTTTTTCCCTATAGCTTTTGGCATTTGCTGTAGGACAAACAGGAACAGGGACAGAAAAACCATGTGCAGAGCCTGGCCATGGAGTCCCTCAAGTGTCCCTGCCGGCTGTGGGCTATCGCAGCATCACCCCATGAATCCATCCCTTCTTCACCTTCTGAGCCTCCCAAGCTCAGAGCAGCAGGTCCTGACCACTCCAGGGAAGGAATAAGGACCTTTCACTTCCCCTTGACCCCAATGGGCAGTTTCTCCTCCTAAAAAGCTCCCAGGTCCTGCTAAATAGAGAACAAACCCCAACATAACAGAGCTCCTTGGAGTGAAAGCCTGAGTCCAACTCAACCTGCAACAGCAGCCATGGCCATGCTTCCAATGGTCCCAGCGTGGGAACTGGGGACCTGGCTGTGGGCTGGGCAGAGGAAAGGCCACAAAACCTCCTCTGGGTGCTGAGCTGTGGGTCTCGATAAGAGAACTGCACGCAAGAGCCAGCACCAAAAGAGCCCCTGCCTGCTCCGACGCGCAGTCAGGCACCGAGCCCCTGTGCCTGCATCCCTGCCTGCAGCTGCCTCCCGGGTGCAGCAGCCACAGTCCCAAGGGCAAAGCCCCTCCTCGGAAAGCACTTGGGATGCAGAAAGGTGGCAGGAGGCGGGTGGATGTGCCGGATCAGCTCCAAGCACCAGCTGGATGGGCGTTTGGGAGAATGCCGCGACGGAGGGCATGGAGACCTGCAGAGCTCGCCTCCTTCATGGGAAAATCCTGTGCTAAATCCCACCCTGAGCCACAGCCAAGCTCCTGAGGTCACCCCATGTCCTATGGGCTCGCTGCACCCGTGGGAGAAGGAATAAAGCAAAGGCTCTGCCTTCACCCTCTCTTTGGCTCCAGGTGGGAGCCCAAAGCTGCCGCCACCGACCTGGCTCACTCCCGGCCAGCCAGGCCTGCGTTGCCCCTTCTTTATCCCACGCCTTGTGTTTGGGTAATAAAAAAATAAAATAAAATAAAATAAAAACAATACTTAAAAGTAAAAAATAAAACCCAGGGGTGGAGAAAGCAGCCAGGACAGCGGGCAGGGCCGCACCGCTCCCTCCTCCTGTGCTGCCCGGAGGAGCCGGTCCCTTACCACTGCCAGGAGCATCTCCTCTCCCGAGCAGGGATTTCACATTCATTTCACTGGTATGGCAAAGTCCGTTTGCTTTTTCCTTCAAGGTGCTTTACATTCAAGAGCTATCGCAATCCACAGCGAGGAAAATGGGGCTGGGATATACCCCAGCACCCGGGGTTCTCTTGAGTTTGATTATTTGACTTAAATAAACTTCCCCAAACCTCTGAAGTTTAGTTTGCTTCCAAGTTCTGGGGAACTCGAAGAGGGCCTGTGGCTCCCTGCTTTAGCTCTCCCGTGGGTCACTGTACTGCAGCTCCGAGTTGAAGACCTCCTTATAGAGGGGTGGGAAGTTCATGGCAGTCTCCGGGTGCAGGAGACGGAAAAACTCCAGCTTGTCCAAGTGCAGGTTGCAAATGGTCTTCATCAAGGGCAGCTTGGAAACCATCTGCAGGGAAAGGAGGAGCTGGTGACCATGGGGGTCCTGGTTAAGATCCTTTCCCTTGGGGACAAGTAGGTGGGTTTGGGGACCACTGGCACCGTGCACAACTTCCACCATTGGGCAGCCTGGCAGCAGCGTGGCTTTGCCTCCCAACCCACATCTTTCTGCAGGACAACCAGACCCAAGGAGCCCTCAATGTCCCACTCTCCATCCCAGCTCCATCCTGCCCAAAGCGTTCCTGAACTGGCTCCTTTTGCTCCAAACACCCGCTTCCCGACACACTGCCAGGTCCAGTGGCACGGGGCTGCCTGCGGTGAGGATGCCTCTGCCTGCACTGCAAAGGGAAATTCCCCTTCCACAGGTCCCAGGGCTCACTGCCCATGAGCTCCAGCACAGCCACCTCCACCAGTTGAGACACCTCCCCTTGCCCCAACCTGGCTCCATGCATGCATCACCACTACCTTCGAGAGCTTGTCCTCAGCGGAGTGCTTCTTCTGGATCTCGTGCTGCAGGGCCACGTAGATCTTGTCCTGGAGCTTCTGCACCTTCTTGGACTCGGTCAGCCAGGGCCGATCTGCAGGAGATGGCAGGTCAGAAACAGCACGGGGGTCTCCCCCAGCCTCCTCCCTTTAAGTCACCCACCAAGGAAGCAGCACTGAGATGTATGGGTGCTCTCTCCCCAGCTTTGGCACGAGGCACCCCCCTCCCCGGCTGCAGGGTCCCCCCATACCCGGGGAGAGCAGAACGGCGGCGGTGAAGAGGGCGAGCTCCTCATCCGATAGCTGCAGGCGGCACAGGGTCCTCCCCAGCTCAAAGACAGCACCGATGAGGTCGTCACAGCCTGATGGGGGACAGCAGGGAAGAGGGGGACGTCACCCCCGGCAGCACCCGAGGCTCGGAAAGCTTTCGGAAGATGAGATGGGTGAAGGGGGGTCCCCAGCATCGCGGGGCTTCAGACCAGGGCAGAAAGCGCGTCCCAACCACGGCGCACATCAACCCCATCCCAATGGGAGCGGGGGGGCAAATGCAGCAGGGTCTCACCCGCCCAGCCATGGGGATGCTGCTTTTCACCCAGCCCTGTCCGGGTGGCAGAAGGAGAGGAAAAGGGGAGGAGAGCCCTGAGAGGCTCTTACCGAGGGACTTGAACATCTGCATGCCTCCAAACTTCCCCTCGAAGAGCACGGTGTTGTTCAAGGGGTTGAAGGCGCGGATCATGCGGATCAGGAGCACCTCGAGGCAACCTGACATAGGCAGAGAGAGCGCAGACAAGGGCAGGGGGTTTCCATCATCCCAGGACCAAATATAAGGCAGAAGAAAGCCCGCAGGGCAGGTTTGAAGTCCATTCCCAAGAGCAGAATGATGATTTCCAATAAATCCCGGTTGGGGGGGTTGGTTTTTGGGGTGGTTTTTTTATGTTTAGGTTTCCAATCGTGACCACAATATTTCACCAAAGGGAAATAAGATCCATCATTTGCAGCCAGCCAGAGAGATCCATCAACATCATGGTGGAGCACCGAGAGGGGAAGAGGGTGAAAACAAAAGACATGGAAAGGAAATGGAAGGGAGAAAGGAAAGAACGAGTTAAACTCCAGTGCGTCGGGCACGGCCAGCTCTGGCTTTGGGATACAGCACCCTGCCGGGATGCTGGCACATGTCTCCCTCTGCCCTTAGCTCCCAAGCCTTCAACACTTAGGAACTAAGAGGGTTTTAGGCATGTGGGGGCTTTTGCACATTGAGCTCCCTGGCCAGGCAGACTGGGGGGACACGGGTGTGCGCTGCTGTTGTCCTCCTCTCCCCAGTGTCTTGCCAGGAGAAGAGGCCAAACCTTTCCTCTTCTCCCTCCCAGCACAGCTTTTCCTGGTGGGAAACCAAGTGTGCTCATTTCCATCCCGGGTTCTGAGGGACATTTACTTGAGGGTGCCCATGGAGAAAAGGCTCTGCCTGGAGTGGCCACTCCTCACATCCCTCTCTATCCCATCACCTTTAAACACGACCTTCAACTCCTTCTAGCCCAGCACCTGCTCCCCAGGCACTGATTTTAAGCCAGGAGGCAACCAGGGTGGAGGAGAGATCCTGAAAGGAAAGCACTAGCCAAGAGGAAAGATGGGATATACATATCCTTCTAGTGCCTAAAGGGGCTGCAGGAAACCTGGAGAGGGGCTTGGGACAAGGGCCTGTAGGGACAGACCAAGGGGAATGGCTTGAACCTGCCCGAGGGGAGACTGAGATGAGCTCTTAGGCAGAAGCTCTTCCCTGGGAGGGTGCTGAGGCGCTGGCACAGGGTGCCCAGAGAAGCTGTGGCTGCCCCATCCCTGGCAGTGTTCAAGGCCAGGTTGGACACAGGGGCTTGGAGCAAGCTGGTCCAGTGGAAGGGGTCCCTGCCCGTGGCAGGGGTTGGAGGTGGAGGAGCTTTAAGATCCCTTCCAACATAAATCATTCAGTGATGATTCTATGATGTGCCTTTGGCCGCTGCTTGGGAGAGTTTTCGGGGTCATGAGGGGTCTGGCAGGGACAGGAGAGGGGCACGGCCGGGGCGCTGCTCTTACCGGCTTTCAGGAGGATGATTTGGTCGTTCTGGCAGAGCTCCATGAAGCCGTCGATGCGCTTGGCGAACTCCACCACGTACTGGATGGCGTTGGAGATCTGCAGCGAGCACTGCTGCCACATGGCCTCGCAGCTCTGCCGGAGAGCGGGCACAGCCCTTAGGGCTCCATCACCCCATCCACTGCTCCCCCCCATCCCACTGCACGGGGCAGGGAAGGGACACAGGCCATCCATGGTGGGTGCTGGCATGAGGACACCCAGGATGTGACTGCCACCGCATCCGCCTCCCGGGATTGGGCTTCAGCAGATCCCGGAGCAGTGATTGACCCTCCTCATCCTCCCCACCCTCACCCCTGCCTCAGCACAGCACCGGGGGACAGCAGTGGCCCTTGCTGGGGGCTGCTGCAGCACTGGGGAGCCGTGGGGGCCACAGAGCAGTGCTCACCTTGCTCTGCAGAGCACGGACCTCCTCGGGGGAGTAGAGGCTCCACGCCAGGCGCTTGAGCTCCTCTGTTGTGTACTGGCACGTCTCCAGGTGGGACTTCACCACGTTCTGGGCCACCCGGTCTGCAAGGTGAGGGCAGTGCGGGGTGAGCCCCGGGGACCCCCAAGCCTCACACCCCAACACCGTCCTCTCCTGGGTCCTCCTTATGGGAGCTGCTGGGGCTGGAGGGGCTCATGCGTGGTGTCCCGGGGGTATGAGGACAGATGGGGCTGTTCCCAAGGCACGCTCAGGGTGAGCTTCATTGTGCTGAGCTCCATCAGCGCTCAGCCTGGAGGAGGGATGCGCTCGGGGCTGCTCTGAGAGCCGAGGCTGGGTCGGTGGCTTGTTGTGACCGTGCCCAGCACAATGTGGGCACCCAGGGCTGGATTCATACTGGAAGGTGCCCGGGGCTGCAGCCAGCACCATGCCCAGGGCTGCACACCCCAAGCGTGCCCGGCCTCGCGCACCAACACTCACCGATCTCGAGGACGGAGATATCAGCCGCCAGCTGAGCACCCTCCAGCGCGCCGTGCGCGAACAGGGCTGGCTCCAGCATCAGCTCGTAGATGGACTCCTGCTTGATGAGCGTGGCATCGGCCACATCCAGGCTGGACTGGTCGGGCGAGGGCTGCGCCGAGGCGAGCAGGTCGAGGTTGTAGTAGGTGCTGCTGCCATCGGGGGTGAGGGGGAAGTCGAAGAGGAGCCCGTCCGACAGCGTGGAGATGTCGTCCAGGTCCGAGAGCCCGCTGCTGACGCTGGTGGTGTAGACGCGGCTCAGAGGCTCAGGCTCATCCTTGGTGCCCCCGCTCTGCTCCTGGCTCTGCTGGTGCTTCTGCACCTCGGCGTAGAGGCTGTCCCGCTGCTTCTTTGACATGCGGCCAAACTTCACCGCTGCCGGGGGGAGAGAGCAGCATCAGGGCGGCTTCCACCCCGCAGAGCATCAGCCGGGACCACCCCCTGCCCTGGGATGGGTCCTGGCTCCCGGAGGCGTGCGTGGTTCCATAGAATCACAGAATCATGGAGTGGGTTGGGTTGAAGGGACCTTAAAGCTCACCCAGTCCCAACCCCTGCCACGGGCAGGGACCCCTTCCACTGGAGCAGCTTGCTCCAAGCCCCTGTGTCCAACCTGGCCTTGAACACTGCCAGGGATGGGGAAGCCACAGCTTCTCTGGGCACCCTGTGCCAGCTAACCCACGTCACCTCGTCTCCACGCTGTGTGAACACTTGCAGGGACGGTGCCTGCAGCCCTGCCCTGGGCAGCCTGTTCCAATGCCTGAGCACCCTCTGGGGCAGGAATTGTTCCTCAGCTCCACCTAAACCTGCCCTGGTGCAGCTTGAGGCCGTTTCCTCTTGTCCCATCCCTTGTTCCTTGGGAGCAGAGCCCAGCCCCACCTCACCACCACAAGGAGGAGGGGGAAGGCGCTGGGGCAGGACTCACCATCGCGGGACATGCCGAGCGCCAGGCATTTCTGCAGGCGGCAGTGCTGGCAGCGGTTGCGGTTGGTGCGGTCGATCAGGCAGTTCCGCTGCCGGGAGCAGGAGTAGCTGGCGTTGTTCTGCTGGCTCCTCCGGAAAAATCCCTGCACGGGACAGGGATGTGTTGGGAAAGCGCCCGGCGAGACACCGACCCCATGGCCCCGCACCCGCCGGCTCCCATCTCCGGGCAGCCCCGGGCTCACCTTGCAGCCTTCGCAGGTGATAACGCCATAGTGGATCCCTGAGGATTTGTCTCCGCAGATCTTGCACGGGATCACCTCGATTTGGGCTGCGGCGGAGGGGAAAAGGAGGGGAAACCACGGTGTTAATGACGGTCACCACTGAACTGAGGGAGGGAGATGCCCTCCCGCTGGGACGGGGGGGAAACTGAGGCACGAGAGCCGGAACTGCTGCAGCTCAGCCCTTCCCGCAAGGATGCTTGGGCATCAGAGAGAGCCTTCACAGGGTGTGGGGTGCCCCCAGCTGCTCCACCATCCTCTCCAGCAAGAGACAGGCAGAAAAGCCTTTTGATCTACAAGGGTGTTTGGGGACCAATCTGCCTGGGACCCCGTTTTGGAACCATTCCCCTTATTTTTCAGTGTGAGCCCACTGAGGGGCATCCAGGACAGGGACATCCTTGGCACAGGCACCATCCCCATCCCCTGGCTCTCCTCATAGAGGTCTGGCCCAAGCAGGGGGTCCAGGGGCCCCGTTGCCCCCCTGCCAGCTCCTCCTAAACCCAGGACTGATGCAGCCATCACCAGCTCAAGGTCCCGGTCCCCTTCCCCCCGCAAATCCTCTTCCCTCCCGCTTCTGCTTCGCTGGCACTGAGCTGCTAATAGGCTTCGTCCTCCTCATTTTCCAGCTGCCCCAGATCTGGGCTGCCTCTGCCCGCCCCACACACACCGGGAGGGGGGGCGTGGGGCACCCCCGGGACTCGTACGTGCCTCTCAGCATCTCTGCACCCTCTAATCCCTGCTCCAGCACCAGCCGGGCTCATCCTGGCATCGCTTTCGAGGGTGCTGGGCAGCCACGCCAAAATAACCCCCGCAGCCAGATTATGGTTGTTTCAAATCTCCTGGGCCTGTGCAAATCCTCAGCTCGGGTAATTCCCTTCTGCCTCTCTTCTCCCCTGGGAATGACCGGTTCTGGTCGTGGTTGGAGGCTGCTCCTGCGAGTGACAGCCCCAGTGCAGGGCCAGCACCGCCTGCACCTGGCTGTGTCCTGGGGTCCCTCCTGGGCTCTGGAGCCAACCGTCACCCCTAGGAGCTGAGAAGAAGCCCTGACTGCTCAAGGAAGCTGGGCTGGGTCACCCAAGCCTCGCTGGGCAGTGGCTGCCGTCGGTCCCCCAGCCACAGCGGGGAAGGACTCATCCCAAGTCTGGTTGTGAGCAGAGGGATGGATCCCTCCCCCATCACTGCTCAGCTCCTGCCCCAAATGCACTGGGTGATTTTGGGGTTCACCCCTTCCTCCTCAGGCTGCCAAGCTGAGCTCCCAGGACTGCGTTCTGTCCCTCCCCAGCCCAAGGGGGTCACATCCCACCCTGTCCCTCCTCTGCCTGCGCCTCTGCTGTAGTCTTGGGCCTGGGGCAGCAGAGATGACACCCCACCCCCCCCCCCCCCCCCCAGGGTGGGCAGGGATGCCAGGGCATCACCACAGCCACACCAGTCCCAGCACCCCCAACTGCACCGGCATTGCAGCCCAGGCTCAGCCCTTTGGGAGGCACCAGGAGGGTGACGTGTGGCCACCCCCATCTCACCACTAAACTCTGATGGCTGAGAGCCCCCCCCCCCCCAGCTCCCTGGCCGGGGATGGGCTGGAGGCGGTGGCACTTCGGGGGGCACTGGGTGATGCTGGTGCTGCTGCCACCCCCAGCAGGAAGCGGCGTCGGTTCCTTATGCAATGTAATTGCAGGCGCGGGTGAGGCACCGCGGTGACACCGCACCCTCACGCCCGCGGCCGATACTGCCGGACCCCGCAATTACCGGCACCACGCGCCCGCACCACAGCCGGAGCGAGAGTGGCCCTGGTACCCACAGCACCCAATGAGCACGGACCCCAAAACCCGCTCACAACGATGCCAACGCTGTCCCCATAGCCCTGCTCCAGGCAGAGGGGACTCCCCTAAGAGCCCCCTGTAGCCAGCGCGGCAGAGCTCAGGGTACAGGGGGCGATGTTGTTCTGGCTCCTCCGGAGCCGAGCATCACCCCTGGGTGCTGTGAAGCAGAAGCCCCTGCTGCTCGCTGGGTGCCCGCAGCCTTTGGGGCTCTAATTAGCATCCTGCTAATTACACATTGTGCTGCCAGCGGCACCTGACCCGCTCCTAAGACGTTCGCCCCACATAACCGCCGTGGGGCTGCGGCCGTAACCCCGGCGCGGTGGCAATTACAGCCCAGAACAGCGTTTCATTGACGCTCTGTTTGTAAGCACAGCGTGAATCACGGTGCCAGCTCCCTCAGTGTCCCCTCATGCCGTGGCCACATGGCCCCTGGGGTGGCCAAACAACACCCTTAGGCAAACCCAGCAGCACAGGGAGGGATGTGGGTGCTGGTGGGGTGCTCTCCGCATCCCCTAAATCTCACATCGCAGCAAACCCCAAACACCAGGCACAGCTCCCCCCCCCACATACACACACACACACACTGTGCCTCAGTTTCCCCACTGGAGCTGGGCTAAAACAGGGCAGCAGGGGATAAAACAAAAGGGTTAAAAGGAATAAACTCTTGTCTTCAGCCGGCAATTAAATTGTCCCTGCCGCGGTATTTGCTCTCCTCCCACTGTAAACGCTTCTTGCCCAACTCCTGGCCCTTATGTAAGTGGCACCGTGGCACCGTCCAGCCACCGGCTCGGCTCTGATGGTGACAACCGGCCCCTGGTCCAGTGGCCCTGTGGCTGGAGCCATCCTGTCCCACTGACACACTTTCTGCCCGTGGTCCCATGCGCTTGTGTAACACCGCAGCCGTTAACCCTTCCCATGGCCACGCCGCGATGGAGCCGCGGCTGCATCCTGACCTCCCGCCCTGCGGATGGGACCTTTGGGGCATTTTTTGGGTGATGCCTCAGCCTGGGGACACCCGTTTGCTGCCCCGAGCTGTGGGTCTCTGTGGAGGATGCAGGTCCACCCTTGCGTGGTCCCCTGCCACCCCCTTGCCTCCCATGACAGACACCCTCGTCTCCATCACCTCCACATCCTCTTGCACACCAAAACATGACAGGCCCTGCCCGATCTGACCACGGGGGTCTGGACCCTCCCTTTGTGGTGCAGCAGCCATGAGCGGCCCCATCTTCCTCCTCCTCCCTATCCTTCCCCTCAGCTGTTATGATCTCACTGCTGAGGGGGGTCTCCCCAAAGCCCTCAGCACCTACCGAGCCCTGGGACGTGCTGCGAGGAGCTGCCCCTGACTCCAGCCAACTCAATGGGGACTGGGTGTCCCTTGGCTGAGAGGGGAGGACTCCTGCGGGATGGAAAAAATGGTGGGGGGCACCAGGAGGTCCCTGCAAAGCCTCTGCACAGACCCCTGAGAGCCCACATCCCCTCCAACCCATGGGGCTGGGGTCAGGATACAGCCACGGGAACAAACCCATGCCCGGGCCCCCGGTGCCCCTTGCTGGGGAGCCCCGTTCTGGGTGTTTTGGAAGGGGTTCTGTGGCCATCCCTGCCTCAAATCCCCCCTTGGCTGCCGTGGCCAGAGCAGGGCCGGCAGCTTCCCCAGTGCCCTGGCTCATTACCCAGTGAACCTGCTGGGAAAGTAGGTCTGTGCCCCATCCTGCTGCCGCGATCGATGCTGCAGGACGGGCACCTCCGGTAATTAACAGCAGCCCCGCAGCCCTCCCTCACCCCCCAACCCCAGCCAGGGCACTGGGATGCTCTGATGCTCCATCACCACCATCATGTCCCCTCTGGCTCAGCATCCCCATCCCTGCACCCAGAGCAGGGGGAGGAGGACGGTTCCAGGCTGCACAGGGACACTCAGGGACCCATGGGGACAGCAGGGACCCACGATGCCATCCTACATCTCCATCCCTGCCCCAAACCCCAGCTCTGCTCCCTCATCCCCTGCAGCAGCCTCTGCCCCGGTTGCTGCTCCCCACTGCACCCACCTTCAGGAGCCTCTGTGCTTCCCCACAGCAATTAGGCACCGTTGTATTTCGGGAATGGTTGGCCGTGGGGTAAAGGAGGTGCAGAAGGAATGAGTAAGTGAATAAAGGGAATGATCATCCCTTTACATCTGCTGCTGGGTTTGCTTTTAAACAGGCTCCCGCACTGCAGCACCCCGCAATCGATGCTAGCAAATCCCATCCCCATCCATGCACCCTGCGGGTAACCCCAGCTGGGCTGGGGCTGTTTGCAGCCAAAGCTCCGGCTCCAGAGGCACCGGCGGCACCGGGGCTGTGCGGGCAGGAAGGAAAACGGGAATTACCCAACTCCAGCCCGGCGCTGGGTGATGCTGGACGTGGGAACCGGTTCCTGCATACATTAGCACCGATGTCCTGGAAACTTCGGGCTCAGCTGCTCACTCCCTGCCCCGGTGACCCCATGGCCACGCAGCCGATGGCTTCACAGCTACCCCCAAGGAGCCGTTTGTTTCCTGTCCTGCGGTGCAGTGCATGTCCCCAGCTTGGAAGCTTCCCACAGCAAGCAGCTCGCTCCAGGCAGCAGCAGGCGATGAGGGTCCGCACGGCCACCTTGCTCCTGCCCTGGCTGCACTGGTTCATTGCCTCACCCGCTGCACAGCACGGCACCAAGGCCACTGGTGCAGGGTCCAGCCCTCTGCACGTTGTCTGGCACAGGAGGCAAAGGTGCCAGTGGTGGGGATGAGGACCTGCAGTCAGCGTGGGGTGTGCAGAAACTGGGCTGTGGTGGGAGAAACCTCTGGCTCCACAGTTGAATCAGGGGGAATTATCTCCATGAGGCTAAATAAAGGCACTGAGAGGGGCTCTGCTCACCACATCCAATAAACCAAGTGTGATTGAGACATCAGCAGCTCTTTAAATAGCCACTGCCAAGTTCAAAGTTAAACGTGACAGGGAGGAGGGACAGGCAGGGATGCTGCCAGCACAGCCCTGGCCAAGCTGGAGGGTAAACCCATAAGGAAAGGACCAACATCTCCCCATCACTTTGCTCTCCCCCTCCATGTGCTGCTGCTCCCCAGGGTTATCGGGGTCAAGGATCCCAAATGCTACCTGGATCCCACAGGACCCCACACTGCCGATGGCCACCTTTCTCCTCCAACCTTCTTTTTGGGAACTGAAGGGCATGGACATCCCCATCCCATGGTACCCAGGACGGGTGCAGCCGTCGTCGTGCCGGGCATCCTCGCCCGCGCCAGCGTGTGCACGCTACCGAAACGGGCAGGGAAGCTCCTCCTCCACCCTCTCTGATTTTTCCAATGACAGATCTAGGTCACTAGGACAAGTCGGGAAGGCAGCCGAGCCACCGCACGCTCCGAGCCACGCCGCTTGCAAAACAAGCGAGCGGGAGGGCTGGAAACCCTATAGGATTATACAAGGCAAAGCCTCTCGCCCGGCCCTGGCGCAGCCGCCGTGCGGGGAAGGACAAGAGCAAGGAGCTGCTGTGGTCCCCGGGGAAAGGGGCAGAGCCGTGGCCCTTTGTGGGGGAGAAAACGGAGATTGAATCCATTTGGGCATCGTCACCAAACGTGGCACTTGGGCGAGAGATGGGGACCCTGCGCCAGGCAGGACTGCGGGAAAAACACCTGATGGGGGGAAATGGCGTGAAACCAACGGGGGTGGGGGGCTTAATCTGGGGCAACACGCAGGAATTTGGGGGGCAGGAAAGACATTTATATAAAGAAAGGAAAAGTTCACCCAGCTGCTAATTAAACCCAGCGCTGGCTGTGTAAGTGCTGCATAGGAGCCGGTGTTATCCGCCAGGCAGGTGTTAATGCTGCCCTCCATACTAATAAAGGTGAAATCCCGGCATGTCATGGGGTGGGAAGGGGATATGGGGGCTCACCTCACCCTGGCACCACCATGACATGAGAGTGCGGCGGGTGGCAGAGTCGCAGCACCCACAGCCGCACCAGGAGGGAGGAAACCCCATATGAGGGGCTTCAAGATGTATGCCCTAGTACATACAACCCCCAAAATGTGCCATTTATGCACACGCACCCCCAAAATACACCTAAGGAGGTGCAGAAACGGGTCCTGGTGGGGTGAAGGGCTCGGGCATGGTGGGTGATGATGGAAAACAGGGATGGAAATCCCACCCTGGGGTGCGAGGTCCCAGCCGTGCTCCCAGCAGCTCCACCAGGCACGGGCACGGGATGCACTGGGTCCGGCCACCACTGCGTCACCATCACCGGGCCCGGTGGATCATCCCGCCGGAGCCTTCCTCCCTCCCTCCCTCCCTCCTCCTCCCAACCGCCTGCTTTGCAAAGCGGAGGGATGAAAAGTAGGAATCGTCTTTACCAGAACGGCTGAATCCAGGCAGGCACGGGCGCCACTCACCCCTTTCCCTGGACAAGGGGCAGCCAAAATCGCGGCTGGTTTTTCCCTCTCTCTCCGGCGGCACCGGCCCGGCCCCAAACCACCCCCAAAGCAGCGGGAAGGGGGAAAAAGGGGGGAAAAACAACCATAAATCCAGCCCTGGTGGGAGCAACATATTGGAGAGGAGATTAAGGGGTTTAGTGCGAGGAAAAGCTTAAGAGCGGGTTTAAGCCGGCGTCGGAAAGCGAAGCAAAACAAACAATTTCATTCCTAATGAAGCGGGGAGCGGGACAGAACCCGGCGGGACTCACGCGGGACCCCCCCCTGTCCGCAGCGGGGCTGATGCGGGTCCCCCCTGTGCCCCACCGGGGACAACTTTTGCCGCTGCCTCCCCGCAGCCGCCCCCCGCTCTCCCCGCACTCACCTCGCATCGTGGCCAGCGGCGCTCAGGACCGCGCCGGGGGGCGCATGGGGCGGCACCGGGGGTCCCTGCGGCGGGGCGGGGAGCGGCGGCACCGGTGGGGAGGGCGGGGGGGGACACCGGGAGGCACCGGGCGGCTCTGGCACCTGCCCCTCCGCCGCGCCGCTGACCCACTTCTGCCCGAGCATGCGGCCGTTCACATGACGAGCCCGCTCCGCCCCCCCCAAATCGGTTTCACTTCCAGCCCCACCTCCTGCCCTTCCTCCTCCTCCTCCTCTCCTCTTCTCTTCGTCGTCGTCCCCCCCCCCCCCCGTCCCCACCGCTCCCACCGGGCCGGTGCTCAGCGCTGCTCACGGGCACTGCACGGGGTCCGCTCGCCCCGGGCTGGGAGGGGGGACACGGCTCTGGGACCTTGGGGGGGTGCTCGGTGCTGCCCGCCCCTGGGAGGGCGCTGCCGGTGCCGGTCCTGCCCCGGCTCGCCCAGGCACGGGGCCCGCTGCGTGTCCCGCTGAATCACTTCGCCCTTGCGCGGCTCCGCTGCTCCCCACCGGGTGCCCTGCTCGGCTCTGGGACCCCACAACCCGGCGGGATAGGGCCGGGGGGGGGGGGGGGGGGGGCGAGAAGGTGCAGACACCCGGCGCTGGAGGGATGTGGGAAGCGTGGAGACCCCCCCCGAGCAGCCCCACCATGACCCAACATCAGGGTGCGGATGCTGAGGTCCAAGGGGTGTCTGGCCAGGTCTGCGTGCACACAGCGTGCAGGGGAAGCAGTGGGAGCTCCAAGAGCTATTGCCACCCCATCCTTTGGGATGGGATTCACACAGAAGGCTTTCGGGCCTGGGGTTGTATCCTCTCGGTGCTCCAACACGCTGCTGTGATAAATGTAGAGAAATGATGGCTCTGGACCATAGAAGGAGGTATTGTGCTGCAATGTCAAGGTCTCAGCATGGACAGAGCAGCAAGGCTGGGGTTTGTGGGGAAACTCTTGCACCAGGTCAGCAGAGACCCATGGTGCCACACCATAAGGGGGGAGGTGGTTGGTCTGTGTCATGGGCTCAGAGTGCGAGGGGTGCCTTTGAGTGATGCTGCTGAGCACCCAGGGATCATACAATGGTTTGGTTTGGAAGGGACCTTAAAACATGTAGTTCCAGTCCCCTAATGCCTGGATCCTGGGGATGGTAGTAATGGCCTGGAGATGTGCTGTCTGTGGAGGGGGCATCCACTATGAACACGGATAGAGTGCTGAGGCGCTGGCACAGGGTGCCCAGAGAAGCTGTGGCTGCCCCATCCCTGGCAGTGTTCAAGGGCAGGTTGGACACAGGGGCTTGGAGCAAGCTGCTCCAGGGCAGGGGTTGGAGCTGGAGGAGCTTTAAGGTCCCGTCAACCCAACCCATTCTGTGATTCTATGATTCTATGGAGATAGAAATGGTACCCACCACCACCATCACGCGTGGCGTGTCTCCCTGGCCTCCCCTGCCCTTGCACATGGGCTCTGCAGATCCCCCACAGCCCCAAACCCTTCAATTCAACCATTTAAGCGCGGCTGAAGGAGGTGATTTCAACCCGCGTCCATCCCCAAGCCCGGGGCTGAGCCGGGCGGGTGGCAGAGGGGCTCCCCCCGCTCTCGGAGCCATCCTCCCGCACTGGCAGCGGAGCCGCGGTGGCAGCCGGTGCGCTCCCACCCGTGTGCGAGCTGCGTCCCGCTCTGCCCCGCAGCGGGAGCGGGGGCCGCGCCGCGCTCCAGTGCTGCTGCCTGATGTGATCTCGCTGATGGCGGCTGGGGACGGGCCCGCTGCTGTCGCCGGTCGGGTTCGCTCCTTCCCTCCCTGCTTTCCGCCCGTCTCCCCCCCGCCGCGCTCCGCATGGATGCGCACATGGACGGGACGCGGGCCGACGGCTCGCCTCGGTGCTCCCCGGCTCCGCTTCCAGCGCGGTGCTGCGGGCGCAGCTCCAGGCTCAGCCTGCAATCCCAGCCCGGCTCCCACCGCCACCGCTCCCGTGAGGCCGCTGCCTGTCACCGGAGGTCACGGCCGCTGCCTGAAGGAGGTCACCCTCATTAGCCCCGTTTCACAGATGGGGAAACTGAGACCGGGAGCAATGCGGGGACTCTCTGGGGCCCCGGCGAGCTCGCCCCTCCCATCGGGCGGTCGCCAGCTCGCCCAGCACGGCCCCGGTTGCCAATGTTGGGACAGCCTTGGCCAAACCGTGCCAGAGCGAGAGCGAAAATACACCCTGAGCAACCCACAGGTGTTACACAAATGGCACCAACCACACCTGCAGTGAGCAATGTCGGACCCACGCACGCTCCGACACTGACTCCTTAACCCTTCACACCGTGGAATTCCTGGGGACAAGGAGATGCTGTGGGGTCACGTAAGCGGGAGCAGCCTGTGGGCACTGCGGGTCTGGGACTCAGCCCCCTGGTTTGGGGGGCACAGGAGTGGAGGTGTGAGGTTACAGCAGAGCAGAACCCCCTTTGTCTTGTTCAATGTCTCACCCTGCGGACTCAGACAGCTTTAAATTGGGGTCCTGGACCCAGCAAAGCCAGAACTGAGGTGGAGGCAGGTCAGCGGTGGTGACAGTTGAGTCCTTGGTGTAACATTTGCTCCAAAGAGAGGAGCAGCCTCCCCTCCGCTCGCCCAGGGCTGGTTTGGAAGTGGCAGCACTGGAGGTCACTGAACCACTCCTAAATGTCTCCCTCTCCACACAGTGTGGTGTGGAGCCTGGTGCTGCCACGCTCACAGCCAGTTGGTGCAGAGATACTGACCCCAGCATCGACTGGTGCCGTTCCCAGTGATGGAAAAGCAGTGGGGCCAGAGCTGCTGTTTGGTGCCAGGGTGCTGCCAGAGTCGGGCTCAGTGCCGGGGACCTGCCCCTGCCCGGGTGATGCCAGGGGATGCATCCCACAGGGCTGGATCCAGCCCATTGCAGTGGCACCAGCAGCCCCAGGTATCAGCAGCACAGGAAGGAGATGGCCCCTGGGAATGGACAAGGAAAGAAAACCTCTGGCACCCTGTGACGGTCCAGCCCTTCTCCTTCCACTCCTCCCTGGCCCAGCCTCGCTGCTGACTGCCGTCAGGGCCAGGACAGATGCTGGGTGCTGCCAGCCCGTGGCCACCTCAAAGTGGCAACCACCGGCACAGCTCCACTGCCAGCATTGACCCAATCAGCCCCTGGCTGGCCTGGAGGTGAGCAGGAATCTGGGATGACACCACTGCACCTTAATCACTGTTTGCTCTCTCTCACGCCCCACACAGCGAGAGGGGAACCAGCATCACCCCATCCTGCACCCGCAGACTTGGCGACCACCAAACTCCCATCGGGGCTGGGCTGGGCTGCCCTGTGCCCGCTGAGCCCTGGCACAGCCACGGGCAATGGCCACTGCGGTGGCTCTGCCATGGGCTCCCTGCCATGGGCACTGCCAGGTCGCTTCTCCTCACTGTGACTCAGTTTCCCGTCGGGAAGGGCTGACCTGCCTGGCTGGGAGCAGGTCACGGGGTGAACCCACTGATGGGGGCCACAGCGTTGGTGCCCCCAGACCTCGTCTTTGGGTGCCAGGACAGGGATATGTCCCAAGGCAGCCCCAACCCCAAGGCCAGGTGAGGGTCCTGTCCCCCAGTGCCAGGGGTGCAGGCAGCAGGAACAGGGTGGCTGCAGGGGAGCTGTGGTGGTTGCACCTACGAAGCGTCAATGTGTCCCTGGCTGTGGGGTTAACACCATGGAGAACCCCACCACTCTGTCCTCTCCATGGCACCGGTGCCACCCTTCTTCCCAACCCCGCTGCCAGAGTGCTCCAGTGGCACAGAATAAGGGTTCCCCCATTGCACTGGATGGGGCCAGTGCCATAGACCCCTCAGATCCCTCAGACCCCTCCCTCAGACCATGGGGGCCAGACATGGCTTTGCTGCCTGTGCCAGCCCCTGCCCGCTGCTGGATCTGGCATGGTGCTGGGCACGTGGACCTGCAGAAGCAGTGTGAGTCAGTGCCCCACGGCACTCGTTATGCAAAGGCCGTGCTGTGGGGCTGGGGCACACAGTGGGTGCTGCCTGGGCACACAGGGCAGGTGAGTGGTGCAAAGGGGGAAACCGAGGCATCAGTGGGGGTGCATCTAACCCACCATCCCCGTGGGGCTGTCCCTGTGCCCAGTGGGGCCAGGGGCTGTGGGTCTGGTGTAACCAGAGCCCCCGGGCTGGCCTGACCCGCTCACGTAACGCCTGCCTGGCACTTATGCAATAGCCGCTGCCATAAGGGACACCCAACGCCGCAGCAATTACCTGCCCCTTCGTCAGAGGCGACGCGGGATAATGAGGCTAATTGGAGCCGTGGCCATGGAGCTGCCGCTGGGCCAGGGAAGGGGCGTTCGGCCTCACCCAGCACCCCAAGGGTGGCCCCAAGCAATTAGCGCTGCTGAGCCTTCGTTAGGTGCTGGGGGGGGTGAGGAGGGCATGGACCCTGCTGTGCCCTGGGCAGTGTCTGTGGGTGCCTGTGGGGTGGGATGGAGCATCCCGGTGGCATTGCCAGCCCCATCCCAGCAGCCTGCAGCACAGTGAGGGGCAGTGTGCTGGGTACCCTACAACATCCGCCCTGGGGAAGGGGTGTCCTCCGGGGGATGCTCAGCCTCCACCGACCCCATCATCACCCCTTTGGCTTCTGGGGTCCCCGGAGGAGGTTGGGGGCTAAAGGCAGCGTGTGCCCAGGGCCAGGCTGCAGAGCCCTGGCACCGCTCCTTGCACAGATGATGCCTGCAGGAGGGTCCTGCTCGCCCCCCCCCCCCCCAGCCTTGTGTGGGTCCCAGCCACCCCGGGTACTCAGCCTGGGGGCAGATCCCCAGGCATCCCCCAGCCCTCACCCCCGGCTTCGGCTCGGCACCAGCTCGGGGCACTGCGCGGTGCTGCCGAATCTCCAGCGTCGTAATTAGGAGATAAACAGGGAAGAGGGAAGGGGCAGGCTTCATATCCCACCCGCTCCCCCTGGGACAGATAAAAGCAGAGCGGGTGGGGGCATGATGGGGCCTTTTTTTCCCCCTTGTTTCTGCTGAATCAAACAGTTTTCCTCCTGCTTAGAAGATTTCCCTGCTCCCCCGCGCACCCCCCCCCCCCCCCCGCTCCCGCCTTAATGAGGTTTTGCTCTAAAAGTCTCCGAGCCTCCACCGTGGCCTTGAGTTAATCTCCAGGTACCTTCAAAGCCGGGTTCTTCCTGCC